GAAAGCAGTGACGAGATTTTACCAAGGTCGGGTCCAAAAACCAATAGTCCACAACAGTCCATAACCACGTAAAGAAAATAAAACAAGAAGTAACTCAGAGATAAAATGCTCAGCTAAATCATGAATTCAAAAATAATAATCCTTCCTTTCCAATACATCAGTGAAAACCCAAATCGTTTATCGAAGTTTCCAGAAATATGAATAAGTTTGAAAACAATAATTTCCCCAAAATCCTGTCAATAATAAATGAGATGTTTTATTTTCTTTCCAGATAACCTGTGTAAAAATAAATGCATCACTATGCCCATCTATCAACATGTGTGAGAAATCATGAATGATGTGATACTATATAACATGAGGAAAATACATCTCTATGCATGTACGTCATGTGTGCATGTCAATGCGATGCAACTCAGTGATAAAATCATATGCATACTCTCAGAGTATCATTTCACTAAGTCCTCCCAGTCACTCAGTCCTCACAGTCAGTCAATCCTCCCAATTACTCAGTCATCCCAATCGCTCGGCACTCGCACTCAGTAAGTACTTGCGCTCACTGAGAGTGTGTACAGACTCCGAAGGGGCTCCTTCTGCCCAAGCGCTATAATCTGTATGGACAACTCACGTGCTATAATAATATCTGGAACCGCACGAATAACTCACGTGCTGCACGGACAATCACGTGCTATAATAATATCTGGATCCACACGGACAACTCACGTGCTATAATAAAGCCAATCTGACATGCTGCGGCGTGCAACCCGATCCCATAATTATCCTCACAATCAGGCCCTCGGCCTCACTCAGCCATCAATTTCTCCAGTCTCTCGGGTTCACAATGTCATGAAAAATCAGCGCAAAATAATGATATGATGTATCAATAAATAGCAACAGAGACTAAGAGATCATATGAAGTGAATGAACATGAATATGACTGAGTATAAATTTTTAATTTACAATAAATAATTCGCAGCAATATGACCTTTGTGGGTCCCAATAATACTGGCACATAACCTCAACATGATTTTTAATATGATTCTCAGCTCAATTTCTTTAGCACATAAAACTGCATGAAAAATACCAAGATTATTTGACTACAAAATTTCACAAAACAATTATGTCACAATTTCTATGGTGCACGCCCACACGCCCGTCACATAGCATGTGCGTCGCCTCCCAACAATTTACAAAATCCATATATTCAGGGTTCATACCCTCAGCTCCAAGATTAGAAGAGTTACTTACCTCGAACAAGCCAAATCCAATGTCGAGCAAGCTAAGTAATGCTCCAAAAATTCCATTCTGCGTGTAACAACTTCCGAACGGCTCGCATCTAGTCACAATTAATTTAATTCAGTCCACAAAAATTATAGAAATTTATTCCATATCAAAATACTAATATTTTCCATAAAAGTCTAAAATTACACCCCCAAAATCACCCGTGGGGCCCATGTCTCGGAATCCGACGAAACTTACAAAATCCGACAACCTATCCAATTACAAGTTAAACCATATTAATTTCACTTAATTCCGACTCCAAATCGATGTTGAAAACTCAAATATTCATATTATGAACTTTAGGCCAATACCCCTATTTTCCTCTTTAAATTCATCAATCAATTGCTAAAAATGAAGATAGATTCATGGAATATAATCACAAGGGAGTCAAGAATACTTACCCCAAGTTGTGTGGAAAAGTTCCTTCCAAAATCGCTCAACCCGAGCTCCAAAATCCGAAAATGGGTAAAAATCACGAAACCCTGAATTTAAGCTTCTGTCCCAGCGATTTCCGCATTTGCAGACAAGGGGTTGCACCTGCGACCCTCGCTTCTGCGGACAAAAAGCGCGCCTGCAAAAATAGCCAGCCTTCTCAAATTTCACATCTGCGCTGCCATTATCGCATCTGCGGGCTCGTAGATATGCATACCCTTCGCACATGCGGCCTCACAGATGCAGCAATTTCTTCGCACTTGCGAGCAATGCCCAGTTCCACTCTTGGCCGCTTCTGCGGCTGATTTCGCGTGCATGCGGCTTCGCACCTGCGATCAAAAGCTTCACAGGTGCGATCACACCAGTAGGCAGTAGTTCTAGCATTTCCTTAAGTCCGAATTTGATCCGTTAATATAATACGGACCTACTCGAGGCCTCACGTCATAGCAAACAACATCAAAACGACGAATTACACTTCAATTCAAAAATCATTGAACTTTGAAACTTCAAATTCTATATCTTGTGCCGAAACACATCAAATCACGTACGATTGACCTCAAATATTTTGCACATAATTACGGACCTATTCCAATATCCAGAATCAGATTTTGACCCCGATATCAAAAAGTCAACCCCCAGGTCAAACTTTCCAAAAATTCAACTTTCGGTATTTCAAGCCTAATACTACTACATACCTCCAAAAAATTTTCCGGACACGCTCCGAAGTTCAAAATCACCATACGGAGCTACTGGAATCATCAAAACTCCATTCCGGGGTCGTTTACATATAAGTCGACATCCGGTCACTATTTTAACTTAAGCTTTAAACCTTGGAACTAAATGTTCCAATTCATTCTAAAACCTCACCGGACCCAAACCAATTACCCCGGCAATTCACACAACAACCGTAAAGTACAATTTGAGCAATAAATAGGGAAACAAGGTTGTAATACTCAAAACGATCGGCCGGGTCATTACAAACCCTCTCCAACAATATAATTTAACAACTCTTAAATGTAATAAAAATACTCCAATAAATACCACATTCGATAAGAAATTATCAGGCAACAAAGCATATAATATGTATAAATTATTTAGGAAACAAGTAGGAATTAATTGTAAAAATTATGGAAAAAATAGTCAATTTAATATATAATATACTAAATGTCAAGTAGCAATTAAGTCACATAAATCAAATAAGCATGTAGCAATTATATCATGAATTCAAGACTTAATATTTGACAAAGAATATGAGAGAAATAATTAATATAATAATTAACTGATGATAAAGAAAATAATTTATGATTTCCAGCTAAATATGCAAACAATCAATTTAACGACGTATAGGCACTCGTCACATCGCCTATACGTTGTTACACATGAAATTCACGTAACAAATAATTCAAGGGTTCTATTCCCTCAAGTCAAGGTTAACCACGACTTACCTTATTTTGAAATTTCAAATGATCACTCGACCAGAACATTTCCTTTCGAATTATTCTCCAAACTAATCAAACCTAGCAAATTATTTACCAACAATTTAATTTGAGCTTTAGAAATTATTCAAAATTCGAAAGAGACTTAATTTAAGTCATTTTAGAAAAAGTCAACCAAAAGTCAATATGTGACCCACTTTTTGGAACCCGATGAAAAATTAAGAAATCTAAACACCCGTTCCGATAGAGTTCAACCATACAAAAATTATCGAATTCCGACATCGGATTGCCCTTCGAATCCTAAAATTATAGTTTATGAAGTTTCTATAAATTTTCCCAAATTTTCATCTCAAAATGCTAATTGAATGATGAAAACAATGATATATTCATGTATATTAACCAATTCTGAGTTAGTATCACTTACCCCGATGAATTTCTTAAAAATCCACGAAAAATCGCCACAAACCGAGCTCTCTATGTCCAAAAATAAAAAATGAGATGAAATCCTCGTTTATATGGCACCACATCTGATCTCCCAATGTGCTGACCGCACATTTTTTTGTATGGTCCGCACATCCCACATTCTGTGGCCGCAATCCAAATTGTGCGGCTGCACTTCAGCAGCTCTGCACTACCAGGCTTCAGTAAACTGATCATAACTTTCTCTACAAATTTCCAAATGATTAATGATTTACCTTTCTGAAAACTAGACTCAAAAAGCTACAACTTTCGTTTCATCTCCAAATTTCTTTTAAATTAAAATATATAATCTTCCGAAGTCATACCATCGAACCTGCAGAATCTCCTTTTTGCGGCCGCAAGAGAAATTCTGCGGACTGCGCAATTTCAACTGCGGCCCGCACATTTTCAACTACGGTCCGTACAATTACCAATACCTCCGCACTTTGGGAGTTTTCGGTGTACATCCGCACTCCAAAATGTGCCCTCCGCACTTCAACTGTTCCAGAACATTATCAGAGTGCCGAAATACCCAAACTCGTTCAAAACTCACCCTGAAACTCACCCAAGCCACTTGGGATCCCGTTCAAATATACCAACCATTCCGTAACATAACGCGGACCTACTCAAGGTCTCAATTCATGTCAAACAACGTTGAAACTATAATTCACACCTCGATTCGGACTTATGAGTTTATGAAATTTTCAATTCTATAACTCACGCCGAAACATGTCAATTCAATCCGGAATAATCTCAAATTTTGTAGGTAAGTCCCAAATGACATAACGAAGCTATTCCAACTCTTGGAATCACAATCCGAGTCCGATATCAATAAAGTCAAATTCACGGTCAAACTTTGAAAATCGTTTAGCCTTTAGATTTCTAGTTTTCGTTAAATGGCGATAATTTTAGTTAGGGACCTCCGAATTCGATTCTGGATATACTCTCAAGTCCGAACTCACGATATGGACCTACCAGAACAGTCAAAACACCGATCCGGATTTGTTTGCTCAAAACGCTTATCGAAGACAACTGAGTTGAGTTTTAAAGCTCTATTTCACATTTTAATCAATTTTTCACATAAAAACTTTTCGAAAAAATTTACGGACTGCACACGCAAGTCGAAGAATACTGAAATGTGCTATTTGAGGTTTTAGAACATATAAATAATTATTAAATTTAAAGATGACCTATTAGGTTATCACAAATAATTATAAGTATAACTTGGATGTTGAGAGGAATTCCTTATCCTCATGCTGTATGTGAATTATATCACTTAGAAAAAAATCCATATGAGTTGGTTGAGCATTGATACAGGAAGGCCACCTTCATAAAAGCTTACCAGTGCTTTATACAACCTATGCCCAATATGAAGATGTGGCCAGAATCAGAAAATCTTTCTATTGGGCCACCTATACCAAAACCAATGCCAGGGAGACCTAAAAGATGTAGAAGAAGGGCAAAGGATGAGCCAAGAAAAAAATTTGGCAAGTTATCTAAGAAAGGAGTAAAGAGGACTTGTTCTAAATGTCACCAGTTAGGTCATAACAAATCTGCTTACAAATCTGGGGTAAGATCAATTTATTTTGAATATATTTAGCATTCTACAATGCACACCAACTATTTTATATGCTTTTAGCCTACAATGAGAGATGCAACTCAAGCAAGTAATCCAACTCAAAGGAATCATCCAACTACTAGTGCAACAACCATGCCTAGCATTCCATCTTCAATTTGTGAAGACATATCTGCTGTGAAAAGAAGTGGTCAGAGTCAGTCTAGTTCTACATCAAGAGGAAGAAGAAGAGGCCTAGGAAGGGAATATTTTAGATCTGATGCCGCTGTAATTGGAGGAAGGGGCACTAGCAATGCAAACCCAAGCATACAACAAGTACATGAAACTCAACAGGCAAAAAGGCCTAGACAGTCAGGTTTTGGCATTTATCAAGACACAATGACTGGAAGATCTATACTGAATGTAAGATGGTTCTATACCTCTGTTTCTTTATTTTACGTATCAATTGCTAAATTTAGTATTTTGCAGCCTACTGCACCTTCCAAAAGAGTAATAGCACATGGTACATTTAAACATGCATCTGTAATAAATATTAATCTTGGATTTAAGCCTAATGGTCTAAAATGGAAAGGAAAAAAAGCAGTGACAACTTCCCAGCTTCAGTGGATGAGTGTAGCCAGGAATATAAGAAGTTCCAGTCAACCCATGGAGGGGAAAAACTATTAAAATGCTTTAGAAGTCTTTCGTCTATGTTATAGGGCTAGTTAAGTCAAGGTTGTTGATGAATCTTTTGTTTGATTTTTTTTGGTATTGCAACTGTAAGACCTCTGTTGGAGCTGCTTTTTGCTATTTTACAACTTGCAGACTTAAGTAGTTGATGATTCAGACCAATTGCCCTTTAGTTTTTGTGATGTTATTCTTGTAACTAAAGAATTGTTAATGCATTTAATTCATTTGTTAAAGTTTACTTGTTAGTTTCGGTTGTTAATTTTGTGTTGTTAGTTTCTGTTGTTAAATTTGTGTTATTAGTTTCTGTTCTTAAATTTGGGTTGTTAAATTTTAGAATTTCAGCTGTTAAAATGCAATCAATTTGTAGTTAGTTCCAGTCAATTTGTATTGTTAAATTTCATCTGTTAAAAGACAGTCATGTTTGTAGTTTATGATAGGTAGAATGAAGCTGCAGTCTGTACAGAAGAAGGTTCATTCTTTTTATTATGTTGCGTCCAGTAATAGGGGGTGTTTTTTTTATGTACCTCAGCTGATCCATTGGAAAACTTAATATTATGTTTGCCTAAATAAAGAGTCTTCCTAATAGAATTCATCTTCACACAGCGAACAATAATACTGCACCCGCAATGAGGCCTATCTTTACAATTTCAATATTTCATAAACTATTCTGGAAAACTAGAAACTTTATCATGCAAGAACTGTAGCATTTTGTAGGCGAGGACAACAGAATCAATACCACAATATACATAGGTAGGCCAACTGGAAGTGATTGATTTCTTCTTGTTTCTTCAACTGCAATTTGATTTACATATGAACCAATACCACTTCATTTCTAACATTATCAGTACATATGCAAAGAACGACATAACAAGCTTCAAATGTCTCGCCCAACAAACGCCTTTAAAATACTGCTCAAAACCTAATTTTACTTCATTAATATTTTTTTGGTATAGCTTCAAATTCTGAATATATTTAGATCTATTTATTTAAGGGGAGCCTTGAAGCAACGTTAAAGTTATCTTCGTATGACCTATAGGTCGCAGGTCAGGGTAGGTTGCGTACATCACACCCATTGAGGTGCGGCCCTTCCTCGGACCTTTCCCAGACTGCTTTTTATTTTATTTTATTTTATTTATTTAGATCTATTTTATTATTGCTAGTATTGAAATTTTACAACTAGTCAATTTTGTGTAAAATAGTTTATCTATTTTTATTGCATTCTTACATATACAAAGGTCAAGTTATTTTTTTTGGATATATTTCTTTATAATTATTCAAAAATCAAAAGTTGTTATGAATACATTAAATTTGTGGATGTCCAACAACTCATCCATGAACCATTTTGGATTGTACATGAATATGTTTACTACACTCATTTAATATCTTGCAACCTTCAAGTAAATTGTACACTATATATAAGGTGTTTCTAATTCTACAAATGCTATCAATAAGATAGACTTGAATACATTGAATACAACTAAGGGTGGCAAGTGGGCCGGTCCAGGTCCGGGACCGCGGGCCAAACGGGCTAGGACCGTTTGGCTCGATTTTAGTGGGCCTGGGCCGGCCCTATGATTTGGGCCCGCCAGGCCCGGGACCGGACCGGTCCCTTAGTGGGCCAAACGGTCCCAACGGCTATTTTAAAAAAATAAATAAATATAGCCGTTGGACTGTCAAAAATAGCCGTTGGCTATTTATAAAATAGTCATTTAACCCTCCAACTTTATTTTAATCTCAAACTTTTTATAATTATACTTTTTCCCTATTTTCAACTATAAATACCCCATCATTCTTTCATTTTTTCTTACAAAATCATCAATCTATCACAATCTCTCTCTAATTTTCTTCTATAATTACTACTATTGCTTATTTTATTGTTACAATTTGTGAAACAATTGTGAAGTTGGTGAATTGAAGTCTTCAACGATAATCAATTTTCAACAAGTTGTTCATCAATTCGGTAAACTCGTTCCAACTCTTAAGTTTTAATATTATAATTTTATTTGTTTTATTTATTTTCTATTACTTTATTAATTAAGATGGCTTCCTTAAAAAATATTTTGGTAAAAATAAGGAAAAATCCAAGAGTGACGAATCTAGTACTCAATCTGTTCCTCCTCCACTGCCCCGGGCTCCCCGAACCAAACTTCATACACGTCCTACACTTGCTATTCTTGATAGCGATAATAGTTTATTACAATTTACTGAAAGTCAATTTTGCCATAATATTAGAGCTGGTGAATAATTAGATCATGAATTAATGAATACTCTTTATTGTAATCCAACTATTGNTTATTCTAATCCAACTATTGATGAAAATAATGACGAGGAAATAGATTTTGATGAAACTCAACCGGATGATGATACACCAACTAGTCCTACTCCTGATGTTAACTCAACTAGTGATAACCCTTCTAATCCAAATGATGCCCCATTTGATACTCATGTTACTACCCTTACTTTTTCTAGATAACCTAGCAAATGGACGAAAACATCTCCCGTTTGGCTATTTTTTACTCAACTAATTCCAGAAAATAAGGCTAAGTGTAAAA